CCGCTCCGGCCGCTATTGACTACTACTTGACTGATGGTTGGACTCTGGTTACTTGCCTCTCCAGCCCAATATGAAGGTTCAGAAACAGAATCCAAACTTCACCATTTCGAGTCCAAGGACAAAAACACACCTACAAAGCCTTTGTTCAAGAGAATCAATACCAGTCAAAGACACCAAACTTCCTCTAATTTACCCCATTATTCTGGTCAACTAGTTGTTTCAGTTGAGCTTTGATCAGATTCTGATAGGTTCAGTTCTAAGGAAATCACCAGACCAGCAGATCAACTAATTAATCAGTTGAGCCACTGAAAGTTTTTGGAAGTATTCTTAATACAGGGTTTATTAGATATTTAATGATAATTATTGGAAGAATTAGGAAGGGGATAGGTTGGGATGGTGCACAATGGGCGTAAGCCCTGAAGTTACAAATAAACGATATTATATATTCACAAATGTCCAAGCTTACAATTGCTGCAAGTTTAAAACCTTTATAGAGAACCAAAGTCCCCGAGGCAAACTGAGTAATCTTTGTGTCAATAATTCACATAAACAAAATCATATACTTAAACTTTTGATCTTGACTCTAGCCATTATAATGTGTTCTTAATACCCAAGGCTCATTAATGATTCACTGGCAACCTATCTAGTTACTATTATTCAGTACCCGTCAGTTTTCATGTTATAGGAAGAAGGAACTGTATAATGATAATGAAAACAATCAAAACAAGAAAAACTACTGATATTTGAATTTTTTTTTTAAAAAAAGTCAGTAGCAGCTATCTTTTGACAATTTTTTTTTCTAACTATAGGTTAGCCCATTATCTATATATTGATAACAAAATGTATCAATGAATATTCATTCAACTCAATTAATCCGACATCTATCTAGGTACATAAAAATCTACAATTATGTATATCAGTCAAAGTTACACAAGGTCCCCAATTTCATATAACCCAATCCACATTGATGAAAAATATAGTGCTGCAGAACACAATCTCAAAAGAATATCCAAGATGAATGTTTTCAAACACAAAAAAAGTTTGCATTCATTGCAAAGATAAGGGGGGAAAAACTGGTTTTAAGATACTAGTTTTCTTAGCATTCCCAAGTCCCATGATCCATGCTCAAAAGTACTAAAATTTAATCCCAAACACTTTTGGTCAGTGGTCAAACATTATAAAATGCAAAACTTAATAATTTAAAAGTGGACATTTGCTACAATTTTTGAAACTCAAAAAATAAGACACCTTCAGTAATTTTAATAACATAATAATTCATCACCAAAATTACAACATTTGCCAGAAAGCAAACTCCCACTTCTGTAATGAAATCAAACACATAACACCAATTGCAACGGTACCGCTAGAAATAAAACAATGATAATAATAAGAAGAAAGGTAAACCCTAATCTTGAAACATCATAGAAATGAAGGAAACATCGTACCGTGTGGAAGAGTAGGATTGAATTCGGTGCAGTGCGTTCGAAGAAAGGAAAAGGGGTTTGAAAAGAAAACCCTAATCTTGAATGGGAAAGAAGGAAGAAGAAGAAAATGAAGAAGAGAGAACAATGTGGTCACACAGGCGCAGCAGCTTCTATTCTTCTTGTTGGAAGTAAAACATCCTTTTCACCACCTATACATTATTTTTTAATTATGAAGAGTAATTTAAATTTTAAGGTAAATTTAAAATTATTATTTTTTGTTTCATAATTTTTTTAAAAAAGTTATTTTTTGAATCACTAATAATATCTAAAAAATGGTAAATTGAGATAATTATAAACTAAGTTTAATATAATGTTTTTACTATAAAAAAATATTTGTTGCAGATTTTATGTAATTTACTAATAAAATTTTAATATAAAGATTAAAATAAAATTTTAAAATTACAAATTAAAAAGATTAATTTTAAATTTAAGAAATAAAAAATAAATTTATCTAAAATTTAAAAAATTAAAAATATATTTAATTTTTTTTTCTTAATATGTTTAAATAAATGTGTTTTAAGTACATATAAATAAATTCCAGGGAAAAAATCATATAAATATAGTAGTTTTTTGCTTTAGTCTTTGTTTCTATAATATTTTTCATTATCTTAGAGGTACAATAAATATAGGATTGTTAACTTGTTATATTCAAATATTTTTAAACCAGAACTAAATGATTATGCAGACGCAGGTTATTTGTCAGATATTTATAATGGTAAATTACAAACAAGATATTTATTTATAAGTGGTGGTACAACCATTTCATAGCGGTCTATAAAACAAACCATATCAGTCACTTCATCTAATCATGTTGAAATTTTAACATTACATGAGGTAAATCGTGAATATGTTTGACTAAGATCTGTATTCAACATGAACGAAAAACTTGTGGTTTATTTTCTGGAAAAATGACTTCGACAATTATACTTGAAAATGTATTGTTCAATTGAAATATGGATACATAAAGGGAGATAGAAGAAAGCATATTCTACCGAAATTTTTTTTACTCATATCTTCAAAGGAATGATGATATAAATGTTCAACAAGTCCACTCAAGTATCAACCTAGCATATCTCTTTACAAAGTCACTTCCAAGAAAAGTTTTTGAACAGTTGATACATAAGATTGGACTCCGTCGTCTTAAAGATTGTATGCATGAGGAGAAATAAATATTTATAAATGATGTACTCTTTTTCCTTCACTAGGTTTTTATTCCACAGGATTTTTCTTAGTAAGGTTTTAACGAGGCACATTCTAAATATTGGACATCTAGGAAGGAGTGTTATGAATAATAATTAGTGGCTCAATTAGTGGATATCAATATTCACTATCAATCATTACCATTTTATATTTTTTTTATGTATGTATTATTCCTGTAATTTGTGTGTGATAATAATATATATTTAATCAAAGATAATATGAGATAGAGAAAATAATCTGATTGGTGTACTATCTTTGGAGGAGGACTAACCTATTTATAAGTACATGTGGTAGCTGAACAATTATTCATAACAATTGACATCCACTAATTGAGTCACTAATTATTATTCATAATAATTCGTTATTTATTTTACAGTAATACTTATTAATCTATACTAATAGATAAAGGAGATATTTATTTACATAATCTTTTTTCATCTCCACAATGATTATATCCTTAATTTTTAAGAAAAAATAAATACTTTTAATAACTATCGTTAACCAATTCTACATAATTTTTTATATTATTATATTATATTTTATTTTTAAAAATATTTAAAAGCATGAAGTACGTCTTAATACTTTTTTTTTTTAAAAACCAAAAACTTAGCTCATATCATTAAGAATATCATGAATGATAAAATTTGGGATGTGAAAAAAATCACAAAGATTTGCACTATCTATTGTTGCTTTAGCAAGCTTATGAGCACTAATATTGGCAGATCTAGGGGAGAAACTTACATGAGAGTTTGTGGGGTTAACCATAATAGGCTTACATTGGTCAAGAAGGCAACCAAGTTCAGTTATGTCAACAGAGTGGTGATTGGAGAAATAGAAAGAGATACGATTACAATCTATTTCAAAAATAGTATTCTCCAAGTTCTGGTTATGGGTCCAGTTGATAGCATGAAGAAAAGCAAAGACTTTACCAACATGGGGCTCCAAACAGCCTTTGATGGTGGTTGAACAAGCTCTAATAAAGGCACCTTGATAGTCTCTAATGCAGATGCCTATTCCGGTAAGGCCTTCCACCGGAAAGAAGTGAGTGGCAATGTTGCACTTAAGCGACCCTTGGGGAGGAGGAGACCATCGTTGCCTAGATAGAGGTTTAGAGTGATGAATCGGAGCAGCTCTATTAGCAGTGGCCCAATCATGAAGCATGAAGGAGGCATGAAGGTTGATCTCATTTTGGTTCCAAGGAGTGTTACTCCAATGCAAAGCATTCTGGCTGTGCCACATGCTCCAAAGAATCATGGAAAATTCTGCAGTAGCTTGAGGAGTCCAGTGCTGCAAAATATGAGATATAAGGTTAAAAACACCATCAGAAGAGTTAATCAAGTTCATGATGCGAGAGTGGAATTTACTTCCCTGCCAACACAGCTTGGCTGATGGACAGCTAAAGAAAGTGCCAGGTGTTTTCAATATCAATATTGCATCGAAAGCATGTGCTGGGACATCAAATGCCTTTCTCTTGAAGGTTGGGCCGAGTGGGAAGGATGTCCCGCATCAATCTCTATATGAAGTGCTTAATGTTGTGGGGAATGCATAGATTCCAAATGTTTTTCCATGGACCAGGAACACTAAGATGACCCATGCAGAGGCTATGTTGGAGATATCCTTTATAGGCAGAGCAAACAGTATAAGAACTAGAGGGATTCTAGTTCCAAATGCGTTTATCTTCACAGTGTAGGTTGAGGATAGGAATGTTGAGTATATGGTTGCTAGTGTCCATCAAACAGGGAGTTAATCAAATCAGTGTTCCAATCAAGCTTATCGTTACTCATCAGATCGGAAACTTTAAAAACTTGGCTATTTGAGGGGTCATGAGGATGAATACAATGGTAATTGTCATTGTATTTGATCCAAGGCTCACCCCAAACAAGAATGGTATTCCCATTCCCAAGCCTCCAACGAATACCATTCTTAAGAAGATGTTGGGTGCACCAAAGATTTTTCTGTGTAGCTAGGGTTGTGACCCAATGGAGCATTGAGAAAGTTAGCTTCGGGGTAGTATTCGATTTGGTAGATTCTACTGATCAGAGAGTTTGGGTTGGTAAGAAGCCTCCAAGCTTGCTTACCAAGCATATCAAGGTTAAAGGCAGATAAGTTTTTGAAGCCAAGTCCACCCTTAAGTTTGGAAATGGCAAGCTTTTCCCAACGCATCCACTTAATTCCTTTGTGCATATGAATTTGCACCCCACCAGAAGGCATTTAGTAATTTCTCAATCTCATCTATGGTGCGGGAAGGAATCAAAAAGACACTCATAGCATATGAAGGGAGAGCCTACAAAATAGCCTTGATGAGGGTCTCTTTACCTGCCTTAGATAACGATTTGTGGCTCCAAGACTGTAATTTTTCCATATACCCTCCTTGATAAACTTGAAAACTTTATTTTTATTTCGTCCAATCATAGATGGGAGTCCAAGGTACTTATGCTCAACCCAAGGGGTCAAGCATTGATACCAATTGAAGTTAGCGGGAAAACACATAGAAGGGGGGTTGAATATGTGTGTGTGTTAACAAAGGTATTTTAAAATCATTTTCGCAAGATTAATGTTCTTCGTCCACTGCACTTTTGAATATCAGACGGTTGTGCATAGTTTGCTTAACATACAAGCAATGCGTCTGAAGGGTTTATCGTCCACTAGGCAAAATGTCTCGTAAAAATATTAATTGACGTTCTTACATTTTCCTTTTCAAGATAGTTTCGTTTACGGATAAGTAGTAGATGAATCTTTCGGTGTAATAAGTTTGTCAAGAAAAGTTAGCGTCTTCGTCTAAAAGTTGTTTTAAAGATATATAAACACTGGACGAAGTCTTTCACAAATGTTTGTCTAAGTAAATAAAAGGATGCAATCATTTTATATTGGTTTGTTCAACAGAGCTACGTCCAGTCTCCTTCAACTTGAAGGGTTCCATTAGATAGGAAATGAAAAACATTGAGTATTATTGTCCACTCTTGGACCTGAGTATTCTCGACCACTCCTGGCCTTGAGTATTCTCGACCACTCCTGGCCTTAAGTATTCACGACCACTCCTGGCCCGTCAGCTTCACTCACCAACGCTAGTATTCTTAAACCACTTAGGTTCTCCAAGTATTCTCGACCACTCCTGGCCCGTCGGCTTCACTCACAAACGCTAGTATTCTTAAACCATTTCTAGTTCTCCAAGTATTCTCGACCACTCCTGGCCCGTCGGCTTCACTCACCAACGCTAGTATATTCTTTTCAGCCACTTCTGGCTAGCAGTGAGTATTCTTTGACAAGCCCCTCCAGGCTTTACAAGTATTCTTTTCTTTGCCTCTTCAGGCTTTACAATGTTGGCTAGACAGTTTTGGTTGAGTGCATACATTACTCTCACAGAGAGGATTGGGAATTTCCTACACTCACTAAGGTTTGCTACCTTAGTTTTACAGAGACTTGTGTTTGAGTGTTTGGGTTACTCTCATGGAGAGGATACATAAGTTTACAACACTCAGTAAGGTTTAGTCCATTACTGACATTTCGAACACCTTAGTCTATAGAGATACAAATACAATATTACATTGTACATATGACTATGTATGCTCATCTCTGGTCTCTGCCTCGCGGGCTTGATATCACTATTTTTCTTTCAATCAAAAAGTCAACCTTTTAAGGTTTTAGGTAGTGATATATATATATTCTTGTTGATTCTGCCCGTTGCTTGATTTTGAATATGTCTGTTGATGCGGAGCTTCCCGTTGCATATGTCCGTTGAAGCTGATATAGTCATTCTTGACTAGTTTGATCTTCTCATTTAATGCTCAGATTCTTGCATTAAATGTTGCTTCTTGCTTTTATACATTGCATGTATTCTTCTTCGGTCTATTGTTAGCGGTGTTTGACTTTATCTGAGACTTAGAAGTTGTTTATCTTTTTCTGGTCATGCAACAATATACCCGTTATCCT